GACTGTTTTGGGAGAGCTCCAGTCTAAGGTCAGATAGGCTGGAAAGTTTCCCACTTTGGACCACGTTTGGCTTCTCATATTAAGAAAATTATATCTGTTGCAAGAATTGGCTAAATTGATGCCTTTGAGGCCAGCCAGAGGTGGCGTTTGCTGGTTCTCCGAACTACTCAACACTTCTGCTACCAGTTCTCCAGAACCTTTTGGAACTTGCTGAATTTCACCCCTGGTTTGAATAATTCAGTATCAACCCGGTAGAAGAAGATGCCTAGAATTTAATTTCCTTCTCCTTTCAATTCTTGGCAACCTTCATTTTCTTACATTTATATATGATCACAGAACCTATCTGGCATGCATGGTTATAGAATAAAAAAGGAAATCTCTCTGAACTGGTAAGTCACCCTTTCATCTGCCCATTTTTAAGAAAACTCCCCACCCCCCACCTACTTCCTTTTGGCAGCGCAGTCTTTAATTTAATTATTTAATTACATTAATTTAAGACTCTTTACGTCTTAAAGTTTAAAATAACCAGTATATGCAGCAAAGAGACTTGCGATGTAATCAAGGAACAGAGTAATTTTGTATCTTATCCATAAATCAGCATTTATGTTCAACAAATAACTCATAAAAGGAAAATCAATTTAAAAAAAGATAAAGATACATGAGGAGACATTAATACATTGTTAAATTTTATCCTTGTATTTGTCCATATTAAACATATTTTCCTTTTTTCCCCCTAATGCTCAGGCATCTCAAATTCTGTTTATGAGCACTAAGAATTTTATTACTACTTCAGGGAGTCTTAAAGGCTGTGGTAACAAGTATCCCAAAATTCCATCCAAATTAATAAGGTCCGTATGATATCACATTTCCCCCTCCAGGGGTTATTTTGAAATCCAGTGTGAATATTTTAGTTGCATGTTCCTGAAGGTGTTATTTGTTGTATTGTTGAAGGTCTTACTGGATTTCGGACATGAGCTGGACTCCCGATACTCTGTTTTTGGTTTGCATGTTAAAACGTGGATCTCTGATCATAATGACATGCTTGGGTGAATTGATGACTTTAGTTACTTATGGCTGCTCTGTAGAATTTGGACCAGCAGAATTTATTCCTCTGCATCCATTAATAACACACAGGTGAGATAATAAAACAGTTTTAAAAATATCTGAACTTTATCTTTTTCTTCCACATATTTTCTAATTGTAACCATATTTTTTTAATTATTGTATGCCACTCAACCCTCACTGACTCTGGCTGGCTCACAACAATAAAAGAAATTACAATAAATTCAATAAAATAAAAGATAAAATTAAAAGTTGGTATGCATGATAGTCCAGAGGGAATATGCAAGGGGTCTTGCTCTTCTTTGCCAATGGCATATTCATATTTTAAATGTGTTTTTTTCACTTATTCTTGTATTCTCAATCAACAAAAATGTTACCGGCAAGAAAGATTAACTCCATCTTAAAGGACCTCATTTTCTATGAATGTAGCTTAGTGTTGTGGCCCGGCAAGAGCTGTTAGAGCTGTCGCCAGACTCCGACAGCAAGGGGGCTGATGAGTCGGCCTTGGAGGAGCTGGAGGACCCTGGACACAGTGTCGACGCCGAGCAGGGCGAGGAGAGACTGGTTGACCACCAGGTGGCGGCAGAGCATTGGATCAAAGGGAATGTTCCT